CAGACTGTTGAGAATTTTGGAAGACAGCCTGAATTTCACGACTGTCATCAAAGTACCGCCTGCGTCCGAAGTGCCGGGAATCGTGCTGCCGAATGGAACAGCAACCGGTGTCTTGGGTGAGCGAATTCGACTCATCCTTAATTTTTGAAAATAGTAAATAACTTCGTTAACACGTGTTCAATGATCAACATGAATCCTTTCTCGGCAATTATGTAGTGTCATCAGAAAAATTCCCGCAACAACTTGAGAAGGACCACTCAAGTAGCAACAACTCACACATCGAATATTTGCTTTTCGAATCTTTCAGACAGGACCATCATTAATGCATTCCAGTATGATTACTTTTTCATTTTTACTTGCTGACTTCTTGCTAATCAACTGAAATTCTTGGACCACCTTCTTATTTCTCATCACTGGGAAACAAAACTAACAAAGTTCCAAATTTCAACATTTCAAGAATCAGAATTTTTTTATGGAAATAATTTTTGTTTGGGTGGATTCTTTCTGCAAAAATCTCTTTCACAATATTTTTTTCTCTTAGGTCACAGAACAGTTCACCATGTGACCATAATGTGAAATGAATGCGAAACTTTTCGCAGAGAACCTCTATAACATGTTGAAGAACCCTTCTTTGGCCAAAGAAAAATTCCTGCTGCAGAAAAAATAATGGGTGCAATTTCAGACACTTTGAGAATCTTCAAACTGAAAAATCATTGCCAAAATTTTGAAAAAACGTCAAGATATACAGATGCTTCTCCAAGATATACCAAAAATTGAAAAAATTTAATTTTTCTAAATGTTGACATCTCTTGAATCAATGATCTGGCACAGTGACAATTTGGGTTGTTCTGATGATGCTGGTCCATGTGTCAATTGGCTTCTATGTGTTTTTATGCCCCCAATCTATTCTGGGGGTGGTCATAAGCAACATGAAGGACTTCTGCTGGATCCCAGTAAATTTGGCTCAACTGTTCAGGGGCCAATTTATCAGGGCATGGCATGTTAAAATGATCTATTCCCAAAAATTTGGATTTTCCCAGGAGAAATGAATTTCTAAAGATGAGAAAAAACCCATGAGAATTTTGCCTGTATCAGGCAAATTTGTCACAGGTCTTCTGCCTTTTTGATTTGGTGGACTCAGACGCAGTATGAGTAAAGAATCAAATTCATGCATTTTTTTGGTAATTCTGTCCCTCATAAAAGTGAAGGACCTTCACAACTTTCCAAGGGGACCATTTCTCTGGGGGCTTAACTGCCACCAGATGGTTTTGCCATTTTATCTTCTGGCACACCAATCCACATTGGCATGCCCTTCAGAAATATAATCCCAAAGTCATTAAAATTTTGGGATCAATAAATTATGTCAAAAACAAGACTCAAGAATCAGCTCAGCAATAATTCTTCACAAACACTCCAATTCATGATCAAAACGCACAATGTGTGCTTATTTTTTCAAGGTTTTGGCATAATTTGTGTACAGTATAGCTAGACTTCTTTAAGCTCCTTGCTTTCTGAGCTTTTTCTGATATAGAAAGGTCAAATTCTGTGTGGTCATCTTTTGCCCTGTTTCTTATGCATCTTCAAACTGAGAAAACAATTTTATTCCATTCTGGGGACTTCTTTCCCTATTTGGGATGAAAAAGAAATCCAATTAATTACATGTGAAACCTCCACATGCAGACACCTCAACATGCCAAGAATTTTACATTAGGACAGTTATTCAAAAAGGAAACAATGGAAAAAGGCTCAACATCCAGACAGTGCATGATACAATTTCAGACAAAAATGACATGTATCAGGACAAATGACAAGAAATTTTTATTTTCAACCCATAGAAATTAAATGCTGATGTAAGAAAAATCTATGCTTTTGCCTTCATTTTCACATCCCTTTTGGTAATTCTGAAAAACGACCTCCACCAATATTTTTACCTATAGATATTTTCCATATACTTATTTTCATGCAGTGTTTCATTCTTTCAGAGTAAGATTTTCTCCATACAGAAGCTGCACATCTTTGCCAAATGGGTTCATTAATTGTCCTTTTTGGGAAGAGAAGGCATTGTTTTGCTGATTATACATTTGTGTATCATGCACAGGCTCATGCTGAAAACTCCATGAATAGAGGGAAACATTTACTGCTTAGAATACAAATTCTTTATTTATTTTTGCATGGAATTCTGATGAATTTTTCTTTGCCAAAACACCAATTAAAATTATATAATGTAAGTGTAAGAGATTACAAGGCTTGACATAGGAACATTTTGAAATCAGAAGACATTGTTCTTGATGCACCAATTACATCTACATCTGATGGTAACACTGCATATTCCATTGGTAATCTAAAGAAAATGTGATACAGCATAAAAAAAGGTACAAGCAACAAGTATGTCCACATTTGAGGGCCCCATTGTATATTGATCCTTCTTGGGGAGTGGTAAAAGGATTTATTTGCAAAATTGTGTGCCACAAGGCATAACAACAAATAAAAAAGCAGGGATGATCAGGAGAGTGAAAGTCAGGAACATTCCTTCCAAATTTTCTTCTTTTTCATGAGCAACATTTTCCTAAACCATTACTGTGTAGCATTTTTCAAATTTCCTTCATTGGATATAGCACTGAGAAATTCCAGACACAAGTCCTATGGGTTTACCTTCCTGGAAATTTTTTTTGCACTTTGTCTACTCAGCGAAATCTTCATGTTGCTGACCTTGGTAAAACTGAATTGCACTAGTGTGCAAACGTTTTCTTGGCACTCTTGTGGGATAGAATTCAACCTTCCGCCGTCCAAGGATTCAAATTGTGCCATTAATATGCTAAATATATTTCAAAATATATTCACGCATAACCCATCGAATTGAAAATTTTCTATTCCAGGTCGTATCCAGAGAAGAGAGGTAGACTTCGTCATGTCAAACAGTCCAACAGTCGACCGCGAACTGGTCTTGGACTTCTCCACCCCATACGAATACAGTGGGTTCATGTGGGTTCAGTCGAAACCCATGAAACTCAACCACGGCCTAGACGCCTTCACCACTTTCTCTCCTCCCGTGTGGATCTCAGTCTTGATCATCATCATTGCAGTTTTTGCTGCGGATCGATTCATTTCAAACATAACATCCATGAGGACAGGAGAACCTATGATCAGCCTAGTGGACAACTGGATGGTGATGGTTAAAACGTTGTTGAGGCAAGAGGACATAAAGGAGAAGCCCAAGCCTGTTAGTTACAGGTGTCTGTATGGAGGATTATCAGTTGGATTCACATTCATGGCCATTATTTACAACGAATTGTACTTTGAGCGTTTGATGGATCCGATTCGGGCCAAGACTGTGGAGACCACCAGTGATGTCATCGAAGGAACTAAGCTATGGTAAGGGACAATAAGACCTTGTCAATTTTTATAAATTGTTGCTAGATTTTTTGTGAATTCATTGAATTTAAGTTCAATTACGATTATAATAAAAAAGGAAAGTGTTTTCTTTTTAATTTTTAGCAATGTAGAAAATTCTTCCTTCAGACTTCAGAGAAAAAATTATTATTTCAAAATTAGGCTCTATACTAATTTTTGTTCAAGGGAAGAAATGCTCGTTTTAAAAAGGTTTTTGTTCAGAATTTATTTTAATTACTCTGCGAATTTATTATACTGTATCATAGGACCGCAGGTATAGTCAACTCAAACCTCATTAATTCCAATATCTGGCTAATTCTCTCCAATCCAAAATAATTTGAACCTTTTACACTGGCACTTTGCAGGAATTGAGTCTGTATCAGTCAAAATTCTCAGGCCTTTTGTCATTGAAGCGGGGTTGAGGGGCAGAACACCTAAGGATCCAAAAATATATGCATCATGGAGTCAATCATCACTTCAAAAACAAACTTGGTTGACACTAAAGACAATATAAATTTTTCCTTCGAAATGAAAATTCTTCTTCCTGGTAATATTTTCTTCCAATATGACACACCCAATTTTGGGCAGTGCGGTTTTTTGAAGTTGTGAAATTTTTAAAGAATAATGACAGAGTCATAAGAATGACGCGCGGCAGAATCACAGGCATAATTTATTGTATTCTTTTTCTCCCCGAGAATAATAAAAAACATTTACGCTGTGGCATTCAAAGTTTGATCAATACAAAGCCAATAGAAATATCAATACATTTTGCTTCAATTTCGAGGGAAAGAATTCTGTTCAGTTCGGCGGAATATTTCTCAATTGAGTCATTTACATTTCATGATGGTCATTAACAAAAATACGTTTTTTATCGTTCTTTGCAGGTTGGCGTACAATGGATCAATTTATGAAAATTTTGCTCAATTCAAACCTTTGGGATCGAAAGCCGTGTTTCAGGATAACTCTGAACGACAAAACGTTTTCAAATGGATTCAGAAATATCCCGATAGATATTTGGGTCTGATTCCGGCCTCGCAAATGTCAAATCCTTCTCTCGGATCCAAAGAATTGATTGCAAGTTTGGAAAGAGGGGACTTTTATGTTGGACAAGAATTTGGCCCAGAGTTATTCAAAGGTATACTGTATTTTCCGAATTTCAAAAACGACAACAAGAGTTTATCAATCAAGAAACCTCAGATTTATCAACATGTATAATTTCTCGCCTTTCATAATTTTGTATAATTCATTACTCCTTTGAACTCAGTGGAATACTTTAGTGGAACAGTCAAAACGATTTTATTTCTTTAATAATGTGTATTCTACATAACTCTGTATTTCTTTCAATTATATTCTTCCCTTTTCCATTATTTACATGTCAGCTCTGAAAATATGTTTTTTATTTTTTCAAAGAAGAATATACTTGTGAAGAACCTTCTTCAGCAGTTTCCATGCTGTTGAGTAATTGTGCCATGCCTCGCAGATCAAAGCAATTTGAATTGTAATATAGGATATTAAAATCTTAATAACTTCAAAGCGCTACACTACCAGGTGCTGCTTAACGTGTGTCAATTGACTCTGGCCAGCAATTAGTAGCCTCCAAATATCAGATGATAATTTTTCAATACTGGATTCAAAAGCCATGAAAAATAATTTAATGAAAGTTCTTCATTCTCATCTCACCAGTACACATTTTGCAAAGGTAATATATTTTTCACATCTTGACTAAAAAGTCCAGTTGACCTGTTCTTGATTAAAAATCTTCTTAATATATTGTATATGCCATTTTCGATTTTTACGAACATAAATAGCTCAATTTGTTCAAGAGATATCCAAATTTTGGAGAATAGAATATTTTTACAGATGTCCAGAAAATACTTGCCCCCAAGAACCTTCAAAACTTGAACAACAATGCTGAACATAGTCTTAAATTTTGACAAAAATATAGAATCACAAAGCAGCAAACAATCCTGACCTGCATCAGGAACAAGTTTGACAGAAGCCTTCCTCAAGAATGCATATATGAAGGCCTTAAAGACCAAAAATCAATTCCTCAATCTCTCATCCATCAGAAACTGATTTTCCATTCATAGCTTCCACTGCAAAATATTCAACCAATTCTTTGCAAAATTGTGGGAATTATTGAGTCTTTGTTTTTATATAAGAGAATATGCTGCTGAGTTG